TGCGGTCCCCCTTCTTAAAGAGGGGGACCACCAGGGCATCCTTCCAAACACACACACGCACACACACACACGCGCGCACACACACGCACACACACGCACACACACACGCGCACACACATGCACGCACACACACACGCGCACCCACACACGCGCACACACACGTGCGCACACACACACGCGCACACACATGCACATACGCACACACACATGCACGCGCACACACACGCGCACACACACACGCACACATACGCAAACATGCGCACACGCACACACGCACACACACACGCACGCACACACACATACGCACACACGCGCACACACACACGCACACCCACACATGCGCACACACACGTACACCCACACACATGCACACACACACGCACACCCACACACATGCACACACACACCCACACATGCGCACACACACGCACACCCACACACATGCACACCCACACACACGCACACACACGCACACCCACACATGCGCGCACACACACGCACGCACGCACACACGCACACACACACGCACGCACACACACACGCACACACGTACGCACATGCGCACACACACACATGCGCACACACACGCACACCCACACACACACCCACACACACGCACACACGCGCACACACACACACGCGCACACACACGCACACACACACACACGCACACACGCGCACACACACACATGCGCACACACACGCACACACACACGCACACACACACACGCACACACCCACACACACCCACACACACGCACACCCACACACACGCACACCCACACATGCGCACACACGCGCACACACACACATGCGCACACACACGCACACACCCACACATGCGCACACACACGCACACCCACACACACGCACACCCACACACACCCACACACATGCACACACGCACACCCACACACATGCACGCGCCAACGAGCGAGCTCGCCCCCACGCCCACCCCACATTGTTCTGTACATTCCAAGACAAAGCCCCCCCCCTCGCCTGCCCGTGTAGCCGACTAAACACCACACTACACTACTACTATACACTACACTATACACTACTACTATACACTACACTATACACTACTACTATACACTACACTATACACTACACTATACACTACTACTATACACTACTACTATACACTACACTATACACTACACTATACACTACACTATACACTACTACTATACACTATACTATACACTACACTATACACTACTACTATACACTACACTATACACTACTATACACTACACTATACACTACTACTATACACTACACTATACACTACACTATACACTACTACTATACACTACACTATACACTACTACTATACACTACTACTATACACTACTACTATACACTACTACTATACACTACACTATACACTACACTATACACTACACTATACACTACTACTATACACTACTACTATACACTACACTACTATACACTACTACTATACACTACTACTATACACTACACTACTATACACTACTACTATACACTACACTATACACTACTACTATACACTACACTATACACTACTACTATACACTACACTATACACTTCTATACACTACACTATACACTACTACTATACACTACACTATATACTACTATACACTATACTATACACTACACTATACACTACTACTATACACTACACTATACACTATACTATACACTACTACTATACACTACTACTATACACTACACTACTATACACTACACTACTATACACTACTACTATACACTACACTATACACTACACTATACACTACACTATACACTACTACTATACACTACACTATACACTACTATACACTATACTATACACTACACTACTACTATACACTACACTATACACTACTACTACTATACACTACACTATACACTACTACTATACACTACACTATACACTACTATACACTACACTATACACTACTACTATACACTACACTATACACTACTACTATACACTACACTATACACTACTACTATACACTACACTATACACTACTACTATACAGTACACTATACACTACACTATACACTACTATACACTACACTATACACTACTACTATACACTACACTATACACTACTACTATACACTACACTATACACTACTACTATACACTACACTACTATACACTACACTACTATACACTACTATACACTACACTACTATACACTACACTATACACTGCTACTATACACTACACTATACACTACTACTATACACTACTATACACTACTACTATACACTATACTATACACTACACTATACACTACTACTATACACTACTACTATACACTACTACTATACACTACACTATACACTACACTATACACTACTACTATACACTACTACTATACACTACACTATACACTACTATACACTACACTATACACTACTACTATACACTACTACTATACACTACACTATACACTACACTATACACTACTACTATACATTACTACTATACACTACTACTATACACTACTACTATACACTACTACTATACACTATACTATACACTACTACTATACACTACTACTATACACTACTACTATACACTACACTATACACTACACTATACACTACTACTATACACTACTACTATACACTACTACTATACACTACTACTATACACTACACTATACACTACACTATACACTACACTATACACTACTACTATACACTACACTATACACTACCCTATACATACTATACACTACACTATACACTACACTATACACTACTATACACTACACTATACACTACTACTATACACTACACTATACACTACTATACACTACACTATACACTACACTATACACTACACTATACACTACTATACACTACACTATACACTACACTATACACTACTACTATACACTACTACTATACACTACACTATACTATACACTACACTATACACTACTACTATACACTATACTATACACTACACTATACACTACTACTATACACTACACTATACACTACTACTATACACTACACTATACACTACACTACTACTATACACTACACTATACACTACTACTATACACTACACTATACACTACTATACACTACACTATACACTACTACTATACACTACTACTATACACTATACTATACACTACACTATACACTACTACTATACACTACACTATACACTACTACTATACACTACACTATACACTACACTATACTACTATACACTACACTATACACTACTACTATACACTACACTACACACTACACTATACTATACACTACACTATACACTACACTACTATACACTACACTATACACTACTACTATACACTACACTATACACTACACTATACTACTATACACTACACTATAGACTACTACTATACACTACATTATACACTACACTATACACTACAGTGTATAGTGTAGTGTATAGTGTAATGTATAGTGTAGTGTGTAGTGTAGTATACTAGTACAGCACTACACCGGTGTGTTGGAGAGCAAATCCACAACATTTTACAATCGGAGTTCGACGTTTCGCCAGTAATTACGACCGCCTTATCCAACCACCCCCCCCCACATCCCCCAACACCCCCCACACCCCCCCACACCCCCACCCCCCCCATATTGTGAATGGCCTTCGCTTGTGAAGCCAAGTCAAGTAACAAGGCTGAGTCGTTTAAGGCTGAGTCGACCTAGGGGAGTCCCAGGGTGCTGGCAGCCGCTAGCGAGTGGCCAGGATGGATCGCAGCGCAGCGCGCTAACCACTGTGCCACCGCTCCCCACCCAATCAAAGACAAAGATCCCCCGTGTAGCCTCTAACGGGCTGCAGGGGCAAGTGCTGTTAGCTAGCAACTCACACACAGCCAAAGATCCCCCGTGTAGCCTCTAACAGGCTGCAGGGGCATACACAGACACAGACAAAGATCCCCCGTGTAGCCTCTAACAGACTGCAGGGGCAAGTGCTGTTAGCAAGCACCTCACACACAGCCAAAGATCCCCCGTGTAGCCTCTAACAGACTGCAGGGGCAAGTGCTGTTAGCTGGCACCTCACACACAGACAAAGATCCCCCGTGTAGCCTCTAACAGACTGCAGGGTCAAGTGCTGTTAGCTAGCACCTCACACACAGACACAGACAAAGATCCCCCGTGTAGCCTGTAACAGACTGCAGGGGCAAGTGCTGTTAGCTAGCACCTCACACGCAGACACAGACAAAGATCCCCCGTGTAGCCTCTAACAGACTGCAGGGGCAAGTGCTGTTAGCTAGCACCTCACACACAGACAAAGATCCCCCGTGTAGCCTCTAACAGGCTGCAGGGGCAAGTGCTGTTAGCTAGCAGCTCACACACAGACAAAGATCCCCCGTGTAGCCTCTAACAGACTGCAGGGGCAAGTGCTGTTAGCTGGCACCTCACACACAGACAAAGCTCCCCCGTGTAGCCTCTAACAGGCTGCAGGGGCAAGTGCTGTTAGCTGGCACCTCACACACAGACACAGACAAAGCTCCCCCGTGTAGCCTCTAACAGGCTGCAGGGGCAAGTGCTGTGAGCGAGCACCTCACACAGACACAGACAAAGATCCCCCGTGTAGCCTCTAACAGACTGCAGGGGCAAGTGCTGTTAGCAAGCACCTCACACAGACACAAACAAAGGTCCCCCGTGTAGCCTTAACAGGCTGCAGGGGCAAGTGCTGTTAGCTGGCACCTCACACACACACAAAGGTCCCCCGTGTAGCCTCTAACAGGCTGCATTGGAAAGTGCTGTGGCACACACAGAGGGGGTGGGTGGGTGGCCAGCACCACGCCCGACCGCCTTGGTCTCCCCACCGCGACACCAGCTACACATTTGAGGCCGAGTCGACCTAGGGGAGGCCCGGCTCAAAGAGAATCGTCACCCGGGTCGCCAGGTTCGCAGCGCGGCGCTAACCGCTGCGCCACCACTCTCCACGCACGCGCTGGTTAGGGGTGGAGGGGGTCAAAATCCGATGAACTATGAAGCGCTTCGTGAGCGCGTGTTTGTATGTCACGGACCCCCTCCTCCAGATCGAGGGGGACCCCCTCCTCCAGATCGAGGGGGACCCCTCCTCCAGATCGAGGGGGACCCCCTCCTCCAGATCGAGGAGGACCCCCTCCTCCAGATCGAGGGGGACCCCTCCTCCAGATCGAGGGGGACCCCCTCCTCCAGATCGAGGGGGACCCCTCCTCCAGATCGAGGGGGACCCCCTCCTCCAGATCGAGGGGGACCCCCTCCTCCAGATCAAGGGGGACCCCCTCCTCCAGATCGAGGGGGACCCCCTCCTCCAGATCGAGGGGGACCCCCTCCTCCAGATCGAGGGGGACCCCCTCCTCCAGATCAAGGGGGACCCCCTCCTCCAGATCGAGGGGGACCCCCTCCTCCAGATCAAGGGGGGCCCCCTCCTCCAGATCGAGGGGGACCCCCTCCTCCAGATCGAGGGGGACCCCCTCCTCCAGATCGAGGGGGACCCCCTCCTCCAGATCAAGGGGGACCCCCTCCTCCAGATCGAGGGGGACCCCTCCTCCAGATCGAGGGGGACCCCCTCCTCCAGATCGAGGGGGACCCCCTCCTCCAGATCAAGGGGGACCCCCTCCTCCAGATCGATGCCCCCCCCCGACCCGTTGGGTAGGAGACCCACACATCGATCACGGATCGAACAATCCTCGGCAAATGCCGGCGACTGACCAGGTTTTGTGCAGCGCCCCTTGGCTTGTTGCCCACGTGTAGAGCTTGTGGGGGTCGAAAGGGGGGCCCCTTGGATCTTGGCAGACGAGTGAAGCTTGTGGGGGTCGAAAGGGGGGTCCCTTGGATCTCGGCAGACGAGTGAAGCTTGTGGGGGTCGAAAGGGGGGTCCCTTGGATCTCGGCAGACGAGTGAAGCTTGTGGGGGTCGAAAGGGGGGCCCCTTGGATCTCGGCAGACGAGTGAAGCTTGTGGGGGTCGAAAGGGGGGTCCCTTGGATCTCGGCAGACGAGTGAAGCTTGTGGGGGTCGAAAGGGGGGCCCCTTGGATCTCGGCAGACGAGTGAAGCTTGTGGGGGTCGAAAGGGGGGCCCCTTGGATCTCGGCAGACGAGTGAAGCTTGTGGGGGTCGAAAGGGGGGTCCCTTGGATCTCGGCAGACGAGTGAAGCTTGTGGGGGTCGAAAGGGGGGCCCCTTGGATCTCGGCAGACGAGTGAAGCTTGTGGGGGTCGAAAGGGGGGTCCCTTGGATCTCGGCAGACGAGTGAAGCTTGTGGGGGTCGAAAGGGGGGTCCCTTGGATCTCGGCAGACGAGTGAAGCTTGTGGGGGTCGAAAGGGGGGTCCCTTGGATCTCGGCAGACGAGTGAAGCTTGTGGGGGTCGAAAGGGGGGCCCCTTGGATCTCGGCAGACGAGTGAAGCTGGGGGGGGGGGTCGAGAGAGGGGGGGGCTGGAGCCCTGGGCCCTTGGCAAGCAGCAGCAGCGGTGGTGGTGATGTGGTGGTGGTGGTGATGTGGTGGTGGTGGTGGTGATGTGGTGGTGGTGGTGATGTGGTGGTGGTGGTGATGATGATGGTGGTGGTGGTGATGTGGTGGTGATGTTGGTGGTGACGATGGTGATGGTAGTGTCAGTGGTAGCGGTGGTGATGATGGTGGTGACGATGGTGGTGACGTTGGTGGTGATGATTGTGATGATGGTGGTGATGTTGGTGGTGATGGTGGTGATGGTGGTGACGATGGTGGTGACGTTGGTGGTGATGATTGTGATGATGGTGGTGATGTTTGGTGGTGATGGTGGTGATGGGTGGTCGGTGGTGTCCTTAGTGGGTCGGTGATTGACTGGTGGTGATGATGGTGTGTGTTGTAGGTGGTGATGGTGGTGGTGTACGGTGGTGTCGGTGGTGGTGATGGGATGATGGTGATGTTGTTGTTGTATGTGGTGATGGTGGTGATGATGGTGGTGATGATGATTGTGATGGTGATAGTGATGATGATGATGGTGGTGGTGATGTTGTTGATGGTGATGTTGTAGGTGGTGATGGTGGTGTCGGTGGTGGTGGATTCCGCTGCTGTGTCGCTCGACTGGAGCTCGCTACGCCCTCTTCCCTTTGGCCTCTCGCGTGCAGCGGCGACACCGCGCGGACAGAGAGGGGGAGAGACACACACACAGAGAGAGGGGGAGAGAACACACACAGAGAGAGGGGTGGAGAGCGACACCAGAAGAGAGGCACACAACAACAGGAGAGAGGGGGAGAGAGAGGGGGGGGGGGGGAGCAGGACACACAGAGAGAGGGGGAGAGGACAACACACAGAGGAAGAGAGACACAGACACACAGAGAGAGGGTGGAGAGAGAGGGGGGGAGAGACACACAGAGAGAGGACACAGACACACCACAGAGGAGAGGGGGGAGAGGGGACACACAGAGAGAGGGGGAGAGAGACACACAGAGAGAGAGACACAGACACACAGAGAGAGGGGGAGAGAGAGGGGGGGAGAGACACACAGAG